CCCCAAAACCCCAAAACCCCAAAACCCCAAAACCCCTTATTAAAATTTTATGGTTGAAGCAGAAATGGAAGAACCACCTTTTCTAAGGTCATTATTCAATAATTTTATGTATCTTTACCCGCTGAAAGCTTGTCCAAAGGTAAATGGGCTCATTGGTTCTGGTAAGAGGCATACTGGAGCTTTTGGAGGAAGAATAGTGTGCAAGAAAGAATTTATGTCTCAGAGGCAATAATCTTCAATCCCCATCTCTTGTTTTGGTGTAGCCGGGAAAATTTTAGGTATAGAAGTCTATTAGAAGTGGTTAGATTTGTTCAGAAATAATAGCGAAAGTCTTACCAAATCTTGGATGGCATTGAGTGGCTTGTACATTGACTCAATTCCTCCATGCATTAAGTTCTCACTCTTTTGGAAAGTCTTTGTCATCTTCGAAGTTTGAAGTTTCTTCATATCCAATTTTTTCTTTTTATTCTAAAAACCTAGTTAGTTTATTTAAAAGGACTAGACTAAGACCACACCAAAATTATCAATGTCGGCAATGATCATAAATTTTCGAGCGAAATTTTTCATGCATTTACTTAAAATGAAAAATCTTTGGAAAGAATTTAGGAGCCTTCTTGGACCTGAATATGAAATCAAAATTTAAATGGGAAACTGGTATTCTTAAAGACTCACTAACAAGCCATGGTGGCTACTCCAATCCTTTAATGAAGGAGATGTTGGTAAATTTAACTTTCCACTCATCGTTTGATCAATTTTTCAACGAAATCGCTCCTCGCTCATAAACTATCAAATTTGAATTTCTGATATTGATCCCACATTATAATACCCCCAAAGGCTGGGTCATTGGAAATTATGGTCAGGAACTTAGCCTCTAAACCTCGAGGCGAAGAAACCCGTATAAATAGTACAAAATTATTAGCCCTGAGATCAATGCTGGGAAGTAAAGTACTTTCTTGTATTTGTGGTTTATTTTAAATAATTCATAACCAAACAGTAAAAGCTTAACGATGGAAAAAGTTAGGAGCATTAAGAATGCTTCTCAATGGAATTTTGAGGTAGGAATGATGTAAATTAGTTGAGAGATCGTTATGTTCTCAAAGAGATGTGTAAACCTCTAACCTACCTGCTTTTCATGGACTTTCATATGCTGGTGAAGGTTTGAACTTGAGCAAAATCTTTTCTCGCAAATGGCTCATCCAAACGGTTTTTCTCCAGTATGGATCCTTTCGTGTCTAATTCTATTGGAGATCTATAACAGAGTGTTTAGAGCATATATAGAAAATTTTATAGTAGAATTCAAGCTCTTTGGCTTAATTATGATGGAAGTTGGATGCTTACTTGAGTAAAACTCTTTCCGCAGCCATCAAAGCGGCATGCATAAGGTCTTTTCTTGTCATGAACTCTGTAGTGTTTGTGCAGAGTGCTGTACTGGGCAAATCCTTTTCCGCAATGAGTTCTATAAAAGTTTAAACTTCAAAAAACAAAGAACTCATAAACTGAATTTTATACATCATTTTCCACTAAGCTGATGGGATATCATAGAAGATATTTCTTCTTTATGAGTTTAAAGCTACACAAAATGTAGTAAAAATACTAAATTCAGTCGCGCCAAGCCCTGATAAGTGGAGGATATACTCTACCTAGCTTAGAAATCTAGATACATCAGTGAAATGTATTCCATATAAAGCTGAGCAAAAATCAAAGACAAAAGAAAAAGTCTTAATACACACTCAAGATTTCGACGATGAAGTTATTTAAATGATAGAATAAGATATTTCTCTAATACTATTCTCTATTTATTCAGAAGAGGTCCTTAAGATGGGGAATTTGTGTCAGAAGAGCACCAATTGAATGAGAACGTTACACAAAAGTAGATGAAATTCATGCAGACTCTTTACAATAAAGTCCAGATATGATACGAACTTTCTTGTGTCAATAGAAAACTTCGAGTGATAATTCAGAAGAGAGATTTTGAAGTTTTCAAACTTAAAGAAGAACTTTGATTGCAATCAAGATTTCATGAGATTATGTCAGCAAATATCCAAAATCAGACACTAGAGGGGCCATACATTAGAGTGACTCATTGAGGTCGAACCACATTAGAAAAAGTTCAAAATCTTCTCCCTAATCGTTCCCATTTGACAGGAAAGCTTTCAATTTTTTACGATATTTCAAGGTAGGAAATATCGCGGTTTTGGAGGCTTTGCTCTTAACAGGATGAGTTTAAAAGACTCCTGAGGACTTTTAGATTAAGTATCTAATGATCATTCAATTTCCTCTAAACTTAAGCATCTGATATTATAAAGACTATTTTGTGTAACTGTCTTGCTTCTGTACATTAAGACAAAGTAATAAAAACTTGGATAAATTTAAGCATCAAGAGAACGTTCGGAGTTTTAAATAGGCTGAAATTAAGACTGAAGGACTTGACAGAGAAGGTCAAGGACCAAAGAGTGAATAAAAATTAAAAAAAGATTTTATTTGAAAGCTGTAGGTTTATGCAGTTGAAGTCAATACTTCAGTGTAAATATTTCTTAAAGCCTGCATCTTTTATTTATCGCATTTTCTAACTTTATTGTTTTAATACCTCCATTATCAGACTTCTAAGACAAGTAAGTGTTACCATCTCGGTTGCTCAGAGAGATTTTAGGGATAAACTTAAACTAAATTTTGAGTCGGATTCATTAAATCATTGAAATATTCATGACAAGGAATCAAGCTGCCAAATATAATGTTAGGACTAACCCTAACCTCTAGAATTTCACTTAATGCTTCATATAAAGCAGACTAAGTGCTAATTAATTTTGTTTGGTCTATATCCTTGATGAGGTCCATCTTTCACTACAATTTTTGCTGACAATTTAGGTCAGGTCTTAAAATTTTAACCAAGAAAATGGAGCCCCATCGTACAAACTAGTTGGATATTTAGCTATTTAACCTCTAGCACATCATTAACACTTGTTATTCATTAAGAACACTCATTTAATCGAGAGGAGCAAGGTTTAGACGCTTCCTAAACACCTTTTTCTAATGCTGCCTGATAGTAATAGAGCAAAAATGGAGTCCAAGCGCATGGTTTTAAAGTAAGAAAAATAATGTTTAGCACTCTTAAAGTTTTTAATCATCTTACTGAAGTATCTAAGACTTCTCTCCAAGAGAATTAACTGTCAGGAGAATTATAAAGGTATGTTATATAAGTTTACCTAGAAGCTAAGAAATGGCTGCTATAAAATATTGTCAATCATGGATTAAGGAAGCAAATTTTTGAAGGTTCATAATTACTTAATTTCATCAAAGTAAGCCCTGATGTAAAAACTCTAGGGCACTTTTATAAGCAAAGGGGACTTATAACTTTAACAATAAGTCTAGTACATGAGGCCCTTAAATTACTAGGTATGGTCACTCCTTCATGCATGAGGAATTATGAGGAAATAGTCGTGAAGTAATTTAAACTTCTCAAGTTTTAATATAGAACATAAGAAAGAACTTAATAATACTCTAATCACTACACTTTTTCTTAATAATGATATCTTTTATAACTCTGATTATAACAGGAAGCAAGGAACAGCGTCGTGTTCAAAGTTGATTCCTTATTTTACCCTCTGTTATAATCATAACACTTTCCTATGAACTAAGCTGACCGAGTTAGGTCAAGGAATATTCTCCATCGCTCAAATTTTGCTTTATTAAATCATCCTAAACATAGGAATTTATAATAAAATGGAGAAATCTTCATCAGACTTTTTCATAAACTTTTGCTTCAAAAAAATATTGAACCTAAACCTCTTGGATATGGGCGCATGAATATCAAGGAGTCTTAAAATGACATAAGTGGAGCTCTATTTTCTATAGCCCGGAAAGAGGTATGATAAACCAGAATAAGTTTTGAATAGCTTTCTACATGTATGAAGGAGAAAGGGATGCTAAACTAAAATATTCTCCCTTCTTCTAGAGTTATATATCTGATACAACAGGCCATTTATATTATTTAGAGCTTCTCAGCAAATTTTATAGACTTCCTCTGTTACTAATTATGAACTTGGTTACTTGGACGAGACCTTAATTGAAGCTATTAATTAGCTAGTCCCTACTGTCACCTCAATATTCATTCACAAATACAATACTGAATAGGTCGGAGGCTTCTTCTTACAATATGAGTGTAATTTAAAAGCTCAACTCTTTCATAAAATTTTAAAGTTTGACTCTTAATCGACTCGATAAAATAAGGACTAACGAGAAGATATTTAGCCGAACACCCGGTGTATCATTGCCAGACTGGTAGTCTGCCTTTAAATTCACTGGAAAAAGATCCAAAATGGTCTAAAAACTAAGAATTAGTGTTTTTGGAGAGCATATGACATCTAGATAAGCTATTAAGGACTTGCTTCTTGTTTTGTATTGTATAGGAGAGCATGTTACTATGAATCAATTCTGTGCAAGTATCAAAAATATTAAAGTTTGAATAATTAAGCAAGGCTCAAAAAGTCGAGTAATTTCAGATTAGGGATAATTTCAGACGAAATTAAGCAAAAATTGTCAAACATATTGAACAATAGAGGTGAAAATCTGACATTGTTAAAATCTTTCTATTTCCAATCCACTGCAAAATAGAGCTGATAAAGGAGATTCTACTGGTCCCTCTATGCTTATGCTTTACGAAAAGATCAAATATTCACTCAAGATCCTCTTTAGAACAGATATACAATAAAATTCGATCGAAATAGGAGTTTAATAGATTTCATAATTTCAGCATCTGTCGACCGCATGGTAGCAGTCCGATGCTTCTAAACAGTATGTTCTTCTTAAAGAACTTAAGAGTTATTGAAGAACTCTCAAGATGTATTACCATATATAGGGTTTCTCTCCAGTATGGGTTCTGATGTGATCTTTCAAGTTCTTCTTCGATGCAAATTGCTTTGCACATTCAACATAGGGGCATCTGTAATCGTCAGACATTTATAAATATTTAATTCCTAACTATCAATTCGCTCGCAGGCTTATGGGGTTTTGGGGTTTTGGGGTTTTGGGGTTTTGGGGTTTTGGGG